CCTCCTCCTCCTCCTCCTCCTCCTCCTCCTCCTCCTCCTCCTCCCCCACTTCCAGCACTGATGACATTCCCTAGTAGGGTCATGAAACGTCTGCAAGGAAACCACCCAGCTCAGGGAGCACCAAGGACCCCTTCATTTCAACCCTGAGCCCCAAATATTCTCCCTAATTTGCCCTGTCGGCATCTCTCCGGAAGACCAGAAGGTAATTTCTACTTTGCTTTTTTTCCCTCCCCCCAGGGGGGTGTAAACAAGATGTACCACGGGATCTATGACTATGACAAGAGTCTTCCCAGGGTCCACGTCCCCATGGAGACAGGAGACACCCTCTTCTTCCACCCCCTGCTCATTCACGGTTCCGGAAGGAACAGGACAGAAGGGTTTCGGAAGGTAATCGGGTCACAGCCTGGGAGGCCGAAGGTCTTTCCTGCTTGATCCAAATCCAGGACTCTCTGTGTGCTACCTGAACATTTGGCTCTCCTCTCTCTGGATGGGTTTGGTTCAGAAGGCTTGGAACGTGGCCGATTAGGATTTCTTAGTTAAAATACAAAATGGCGTAACTTCACTCTCCCTCCCTCCTCTCCCACTGCCCCCTCTTTCCCCCCTCCCTCTTTCCCTGTCTTTTCTCCTCCCTCTCTCTTCCTCCCTCTTCCTCTCTCCCTCCCTCCCGCCATCTCTTCCTCCCTCCCTTTCCCTCCCTGTCTCTTCCTCCCTCTCCTCCCCTTTCCCTCCCTCCCTCCATCTCCCCCTCTCTCCCTCTTTCTTTCTCCCTCTCCCCACCATCTCTCCCTCTCTTCCTCCTTCCCCTCTTTCTCTCCCTCTCTCTCTCTCTCCCCTTCTCTCTCTCTCCTTCCCTCTGTCTTTTAATGCAGGCTATTAGTTGCCATTATGCCAGTAGCGATGGCTACTATATTGACGTCAAAGGGACCAGCCAGGAATTTCTGGAGAAGGAATTGGAAGAGATTGTCAGGCGGAGGTATAATATGGCTGACGTGGATTTCAAAGTAAGTATGTTGTTTCTCCCCCCGCCCTTTTACTTCTTCTGTCACCACGTTCAAAAGCATTGGGCCCCTGTTGCTTCTCTTTCCTATAACTGTACCTTTGTTTGGAGGCTAGTAGTACAGCCAGTCCTCAACTTATGACCACAGCTGGGACTAGGATTTCCATTGCTAAACAAGGAAGTGGTTAAACGTGCCTGTGTCAGGGAATTTTTCATGGAATTGTTGGAACCTACAGCAGCTCCCCACAAACCTCTGGTGGTCCAGGGTGAGACCCATTACGAAATAAAGAAAATTCCTCGATTCTAGATTACACCGAGGACGATTACAATATTGGTGCTATGGAAAGGCTACTTCAGATTTGGGATAATGTCAGCGTTCCAGGAAACCTCCATTCCAACCAATAACTCCGACTTCCTCTCAAAAGTTCCTTTTATTTGGATGGTAACTGGCACATCTGTGGAATCCCGACTCTGAAGGTTCTGGGCTTCCTTGCAATAATTAAAAACTACAAAATCCATCCCCTGCACCCATCAATCACATCACATGCCCCAACCACCACCCGTCCCAAAGTAAGACTTCCTTTTTTTTTTCAGTTTAGTAAATTTTATTCAGTTTTCAAAATTTAAAAACATAAAATAAAACTTTATACATCCTTATATCAATGTCAAGACATCTTTTAAATTTCCTTATCATCTTTCTATATACACATTTCTTTCATTTTACAATTTCAACTTAATGTATAAACAAATATTGATAAATATGAATATAGATATAAGTATTTACATATTCTTATTCTTTATCTAATTGCCATTTTGATTTCTTTCTGTTTTTAACAAATTTTATTCAGTTTTTCACATTAAAAACAAAAATCTCTTTTTAGTGGACAACGTATTTCCGGGTCATCACCTTTACATACAAATATGACAGCAATTATACATTCATATATGCATACTTAATTCTATTATTACCTTTTCCATTCCGAATTTTCAGTAAGGAGAGAAACAAACACATTAATTCTAGCCTCTTTCATTAATCTCAATCGAAACATCTTTTTGTTTCATTTCAATTATTTCAAATATAATCCTTTAATATTTATTTTAAAAATAAAGATAAACAATATGTGTTTGCCTAATAATAATAGTAATATTAATAAAGGTTACCAATGTCTCTCCTTGCTTTTAATAGTTTATATTAACTTATTAATTTAGTTGGTTCTTTAGTCTGTCATATTTCCTTTCCGTTACACATTCTTTTTATAAATTCTAGATTAATACAAATTTTAACACTAAAGAAAAAAAAACAAGTATAGGTTTCCCCCCTTTTACTGCTTTGAGTGTGACACCTCAATGATTAAAATATACCTTTATTCCCTCATCTTGATTCCCAATAAACCATTATTTTTAAGAATTTACACTTATAATCATTACATCTTTTCATTTGGATTCTGCAGCATATTTTCCCCCCTTAATTTTTAATAAAAGTTATCTATATTACCCTATTTTCTAAATATTTTTAATTGCAGAAATATTCTTATTACCCCTTGTCACCCTGCAGAATCCCGTTTTAATTCATCAGCAATTATCTCTGAAAAAACCATTCCTTTTCAACATTTTACTATTTCCGTATTTATTTCATGCGCCTGTTTCTTACTGCTTCTACTCCCTCTCTTTTCCCCATATCTTTTCTCATTCCAGTTTATATCCCTCTCTTTCTTAATATCCTCCTTTCCCCTTTTCTGCTGGGTCTTTCTGCCTTTCCCGACTTCACAGGTATTCCCCCTTTTGATTGCCTTCTTAAATCTCAACTTTTTAACCTTCCTTCTTTCCCCATTTCTTTGTAGTGTTCTTTGTGTTAATTGTCTATTTAAAATGTCTTCTTGAGTCGACTCCTCCTCCTCTGAAGCTCTTTCTTCTTATTCTTCAATCGCCATTTCCATTTTTTCTAAGAGAGAGCAAAGTGATTCGCCTCTTTCCTGTAGTAATTCTCTCATATTTTTAAGTTCCATTTTTAAATCCCGAAGAGATATCATCATTGCACACTCTTGTATTTTAATATCGTTAAAGTCCACAAAAAACCCACTTTTACTTTCCTTCTTTCTTCTTTCAATTTTCTAAAGTTCTCAATTAGTCCAGCCCAGGGTCCATACCAAAAACATCAATCAATCCCACAGTCAGTCTTTCCTTGCTTTTTTCTTTATTCTGGTTCTGCATTCACTTTCTAAGATTCTTACTTTGTTTCAATATTTCTTTAGTGTTATATCCACACAAGTTCATTCAGAAACAGGATGCTTTCCCTTTTGTTTGAGCTCAAGTTTTTGTCAAAAGGTGGCACTCTCCATTATACAAAGTCTTCACCTTTTCCCCCTATTTTTTTTGTTTAGGGTTTTTCGAATTTCAGTATTCCAGCACAGTCCAGTCTCCAATTTGTAAACTTTATTATTATTATTTTTTGACAATCTTAAGTCCAGCTTTATTTTATGCCTGTTTATTCCCAAAATATTTTAGTCCAATTTAGTTAACTCTTTAGTTCCAGCTTCTTCCTTTCCCAGTTCGAAGCCCCGCTTAGCTGTCAAAAATATTTTCTTTTTTTTTTTCCTGTCCCTTTGTAATTTTGCCGCTCACTTTTCTTTTCTTAAAAATTCCACGTTACCTTAATCCCAGGGTACTTTTGTTTAGTTGTATTGCCCAATTGTCCGAGTTCATATGTTATCCACCTCTTTCTTCCTTCCTGCACAAATCTTAATCCAGCTGAGTCCTCCTCTTTGGGGTGGCCATTTTAAACCACCGCTGCAGTTGTCTTCGGGAGGGGGGGAAAGACCAATCCCAGGAGGGGAGATGCGGCTCCCCTCAACTTGGCTTGCGGCTTCCCTTTACTCCGCTGCCCCTCCAAGGCAGCTTCAGCCCCTAATCGTAATGATCAGGGCTCTCCAACGAAAGAGCACCGACTATAGGCGCAGAGAGTCACAATCTACGGTCCGTCAATGAGGAGGCTCCGCCTTCTTCCTCCCATTTTGATTTCTTTTTATTCTTAAACCATTCATACCAGGCATCCCAGACATTATAATAAATTGACTCTTCTTTGTCTTTTAATTTGATTGTTAATCTGTCCATCTCTGCACAGTCTAAATTTTTTTATAACAACACCCGCTGGTGGTACAATTTCTTGCTTCCAGAATTGTGCATAGGAAATTCTAACAGCTGTTAAAATATGTAGTAGCATGATGTATTTAGCTTTTTTATTATGTTTTTCCATTATTATGGCTAATAGGAATAGTTCTGGTTTGGATTCAATTTTCTGTTTTATTATTTCTTCTAACCACAATCCTTTTCACTTATGGGCAACACTACCTGACCTTGAATCAGAAAAACAAATTATTATGTCTAACTAGATATACTCCAATGCATTCCCCCCTCCCACTTTCTCAGACTCAGTGGTGGCAGCGTGGGAGCATCAGACCTCAATATGGCTTCCAGAGCTGACATCCTGACTTGATGACCTTTCTGCCCACAGCCTGATATAAGCAAATTGTTTGCCATCGTTAAGTGAATCTGGCTTCCCCCGGGGAAACACTGCGACCATCATAAATACGAGTCAGTTGCCGAGCACCTGAATGTTGATCATGTGACCCCGGGGGGGCTTACAACAGTCGTTAAGTGTGAAAAAAACGATCCCAAGTTGCTTTTTTCAGCACCGTTGTCAATTCCAACGGTCACTAAATGAACAGTTGTTAAGTGGAGGACTACCTGCATCGCGTTCCCGGACGTGGAAAAATCTTGCAGGTTCCTTCCAGGCATTAACTAAACTCCACCTGTTTATACCTTCACGGGTGAATCTGGATTAAAATCTCATGATTTCTGTTTTGTTTCTCAGTACGTTTCGATGATGCGGGGTCGACTTGTTAAAGGGGAGAGAAAAAATCTTTAAAACACTGCTCGGATCCATTCTCCAGTCAGCGAAAAAACCTCGGAGAAATCAGCATTTATTTTTCTCTTACTTTTTGGTGGGGGAAGGACTGTTATTTCAGACCACTGGGAAGGCTGTTTGCATCTGGAAAGCAATTCAATGCTGCAATTCTAGGCACATAACTGGTTAGTTACAATGAATTACGGTGAACTTTAGTTCTGAGCAGAAAAAGAAAGAATGGTTAGAATTTAAGCTGCAATTCTATGCAAACTTTTACTTAGATTGTGCCTTTGTCGATTAGATTCAAAGAATTTAATCTGCTGTCCTAGTTTGTTTAATGATAAGAAACCTTCAGCTGAGCTCAGATGGACTTTGAACTATACGTGCATAGAATTATATTTTCAATTTAACAACTGTAACTGATGTATTTAAGTAATTTTAAGTAAATTGAATTTTTGCAGTATTTGGAAAAACCTCAATATCTCTTTAAACAGTGCCTCGTTCCTCAGAACTGGAGCGATTTTAGATTTTTCTTTGCAAGAAAATCTTCTTTATTTTAATAGCAATATCATAGTTTTTCACCAGAGTGCAGAGTTTTAGATAGTTAAGAGTTGGAATGAGGTGTTTTATTTGAGAAGAATATCGTGGACTGCAAAAGATAGAAGAAGAATCAAGCAATGATTGAAAGAAGATTTCCAGTTTCTGTGTGTGAGCTTTTTCTTATATTAGAAGAAAGACAGCTAGAAGATGACATGAAAAATGGATTCGTTTTTTCCCCTCTTGTTGTCTAGTTCCTCCTCAGATAAAGTTTCTGAAATATTTCTTCCAAGGGAGACTTTTAAGAGGAGGAGCAAGGAAAATCTTGCCCTAACCACTGAAGAGATATAATTGTGATGCCAAAATAAAAACAATAAAGGACAAACATGGTTTCCCTGTTTTGAATAATCTTACTTTGCTTGTCATAAATAAGCAAAAAGTATCATTGAATCAATCTATTTGATAGCTGCAGGATTTTGAACATCTTTGGAAGTCAAGCTAACCAGGGTGAGGGCTAGATTTTGACAGTTGCCATCTTGTGACCGAGTAGTATAGAAAATTGGTGAAATGGAGATCAGTCATTCATCCCAATCCCCCTTGAGAGAGAAATCAATCTCCCAAGAGATAAACAAAAGCCAGCTGATACAGCATTTTACTAGCTGCAATAGCCTGTACAGTATTAGACCACAAGGTGGCAGTGGTCTGCTAAAAGTTGAAAAGCTTTCTGCCCAAACTATTACTGATCCCTCAGAAAAAATTCCAACTATTATGGGTTACATGACAGAATCTAAAAAAGAAAAATACATCAGGTGCCCATAATATTGTACCGTCTGTTGAGAATGAAAGAAAATGAGACTTTGT